CGTCTTCACTTGTTGCGTCCAGCTAGCGAAGGCGGGAAAAATCCAGCTAAACGAACTCCAATCGCACAACAAGTGCGAGAACACCAAAACGAGAATGCGACAAACTTACCAAATGTCGTATCACTCAATCAAACCGGAGCTGCATCATAAATGATGCCCTTATGTATCTCATACTGGCCCAAGGAATCAAGCGTTTCACAGTAGCTTCCCAAATGCCTCAACAAGGGCCACTTAATCACATAGAAAGTTGTGCAACTCTTTACTAATGATCACGCAACATCGGCACTGATAGCGCTCGCTAAATGGCGCCGTCAAAAGGAAAAGCTAATACAAAGCAACTTCCGCTGGGGTGAACCTAATGGTCGTATCGGGCAAACATATTACCGGAACAGCTAGCAACTCGTGATGCGCAAGAGCGGAAGCTCATGCAATGCACCAGATCCCAAATGATCCTTCCAAACGTGTCACCGATGCAGCTAGAATCCCAAACGATACAAGTATGATCTGGAGTATAGTCGGAGTAATGTCCCACGACAAATATGTAAAGTAGGTCATATCTTACCCTCAGCCACTGTCGCCTGAACCCAGATACTGTGATATCTAAAGATCTGATCAAGCACTGCTCACCTGTCGAGAGTCCAATTGACATACGTCCTTTAAACAAATTCAGACGCTGAGCTGATAATCAACGAACGATCTGAATGCGCCAAACTATGGCATCAGATGCAAATCTCAATCCTCGATATGACCAAATGCTAGGATAACCAAATATCCCAGTAAACAGCCAAAATCTGAAGCAGGCTCCACGCAGATACGCAAAATCTCCACAGCGCGAGCAGTCGCAACCTATTAACTAAGATGACGGCCAAAAATATGTCGAAGCTCCAAAAAACCAAAACGCAATGACTCGACAACCAACACCGATGCGCCTCTCCAGTAAAGAAGCGACTCATCAAGACTATCATGCTCATCTGCTCGTCGTCTCAATGTCCTGCCTATATTATAAAGTGTCTCAAACTTCCATCGACTCATCACACAATGGGCAGAAAGATAAGCGCTACGGCAAAGCTAGAATGACGGAGTTATCCTTATGCGCTAACTACTATTTCTTCGCAATTGTTGTTGAACTTTCTAGAGTTCACACCAATGGGACAGACTAGTTAAACAGAGCGTCACCATACCTAGAATAACCGCCAAACTGCAGAGACCAATACGCGATTAACCATCCCAATGATATCTCATTGAAGGCCCCCAAAATGCATGACTGAAGCACATCTAAAAGACCCATCGATCGATGAATAGAAGTGCTAATCACACCTCGTTCTTGCATTGGCTCATGACCAATTGCCTCAAAGGACTTCAATTCCTGTAGGTCAAAGTACATCCTCAACAAACCATGCACCGTGCAATAACATAATCAAATAACGCCAGCCTCAACAAATATGCTAGTCCTAGCAATCACACAAATCAAAGAAGTGCGTCATGCGATGCATCTATCAAACACCGTGGCTCCTAATCAAATAATTCAAATATATTGCCTGCCTGACCCTTCTACACAATCATAGGACCCAGTATGTGACGCTTTAAACGTGAATTGACCAAATGTCACCCCTATAGTGCTCTTGCCTCCAAAACTCCAAAGTGAAATAATATTCTTCTTCAACTGAGGAAGCGAACCATGGCAACTCCAACATCACATCCGGCGATGCACCCGTCACTCATACCTAATCTAGAACGGCATCGTTACGCCACGCAATAGGACATTCATGATCATTACCCCATGAGCACACGAACGTCACCCTCTTTCTAACTCTGAAAGCTGGAGAGTCAATCCTCCTAAGGACAAATAATAATAAGAAGCAGATCCGAATCCAACATCGCACTCTGTAAAGTCGCAAACACCATATACTGACGGTAGTGCAGATAAATGTAGTAGGCCTCGGAAGAATCCGATCTGAATATTGGCACTAGCCTTGATAACATTCAGCTCTGAAGCTGAATAGGCTTCCATCTTATTCTTACCGGAATCGATCAACCGAACGTTTGGGCATCGGTCTTTTGACATGTCCATCCTCTTTACTAAAAGAGCACAGCCGATTCCTACGAACTCTAAGATGTGGCCGTGCCTGTACCTACGAACTCCTACCACGATTAGAGCTTTTGCTCTATGCGACGCAGAATGGCGCCTCGCGCTAGCGGCATCAACTGAAGTCTTCTTATCGACCTTTCGAGCCTGATAATGCACAAGTATAGGGCGTGACCATCGACTATAAAGAAAGAGATGCATTCCCATTAATTAAGAGTAAGAAGGCGAAGGTCTCATATTCCTCAGTTGAGACATAGGACTGGCACAATAACAAGGCGCCTTGTCCTTCATCTTAATCATCACATCTAAGCATTCAGTCAATTATCGCGCAAGAATAGTTTCGTATAGTGGTTCATGTGATCACCAAAGGAAGATTCCTCTCTATCATTGGAAGCGCGATAAGAAGCTCCTCTTTGCAATACAAGGCGGTTCCTGCAACACTCTGTCTAAATACTTGCCTCTAGGATCTCGCCACTGAATCTTCTTAGCTAAAGTCTCATGTGATCATATATAATTTTTAATCTTGAGTAAAAATAAGATCTAATCACGACACATCACAGACGCCGTTCTTTCAATACTTTGGCCCAACCTTCTCACCTTAATGTCGTGTCAGTTTACCATCCACTCGAATAAAGTATCTTCGCAAATTGTAACGCAATTGAACGCTCCAAGAGCTTCACATGCTCGCAAGACCAAAATTGTTTGTGGAATTAATGCTTGCTCCACATCTATGCTATGCATAAGAGTGGTATATTCATAACTTTGGAGCGATTTCAACACCGAAGTCCCTCCTACAACCTGCCTTCCTTTCCTGAGCTATCTTCTACATAAGCACGCAAAACAATGGCGGAAGCAAATGAATGTAATAGAATCTAAAACTAAAAAATATTGAGTCTTTACTGAAGAATCGCACCTTTATCACAAAACGAAGTTGCTAGGCGAGTCTCCAAAATGACCTACTCCTCCAAATAGCCCAACGTAGCTCGAGCTTGAATACGACTTGTTTGCAGCGTTGCGGTAGCCGAAACAACCAAAACAACAACGTACTACGAGAAATCAAATCAAACAAACGTGCGAAGAGAAGGCCAAACGAACGGCAAATCAATACGCACAAACTACCAAACATACCAATTTTAAACGTGGTTGACAATTGGTCTACGTCCCGGGCAAGAAGGGAATAAGTTTTATCACTATTAGAGAAGAAGAGTTACAAACTGAGATTAAAATTAGGGTCCAAACTCACCAATTAATCCAGCCAACAAAATTTTTAATTCTCTCCAAATAAACCCTAACGGCATAGCTCAGAAAATATCTCTTTCATGTGGCTTCACAAATATCGCCTAATTTTCTTCTATATAATCTCTCTTCCAAATGTTTCCATATATTAGAAATCCTAAAAATCATAAACATACCTAGGAATTCTAAATAAAAAACAAAAACGATTTAGGATCCTAATAACCGATTACTAAAAATAGATTTGGAATCATGTACCAAAATAGATTAGGAATCCCAATAACCTATTACCAAAACAAATTAGGAAACATATTAGGAACCTGCTATCCAACACTTATTTCAAAACATGAATGATTTAAGGGAATAATACTAAAAACACTTTAATCAATCAATTGTTGTTAATAAATTAATTAATTCCATAAATTGCAGCTGGTTAATATTTACACATGTAATACATTTTATGTTTGCAGTGCTAATACCCTCTAAGCTTGTTATGCCATATAAATAAGTAAGTGTTAATCACATTCAATTGGCTAACATGTGTCTCAAGTAGACTACGCACCGACTTGACCCAGACACACCGACTTCTCGTCTCCCTCGATAGTCGAGACGAAAGACATCCTTTCTCGTCTCCTTCGAAGGCCGAGATAAAAGGCATCCTTTCTCATCTCCCTCGAGATGAAAGACGTCTTTTATCGGCCCTCTCGCAGAGCCAAGATGGAAGGTGGTCATTCTCGAGCTCTTCGCTAACAGCCGATTGCCATCACATTAAATACACGATCAGAGTCATGATTACATCCCCCTGAAAGTCTTAATGACTTACTAGACATTGTCAGCACCTTAATCCCCCTGTTACCATCGCATTAATCATAAGGATGACTCATGCCGCTCACAGTCGACACATGTGAAGTCTCAGCCAAATAAGCCGACTGCATAGACTCAACCGAGACTATATAAATACTCTCGCCAGCCTAGTATAAATATGTACATCACCTACTGGCCAAAAAGTAAGCAATTTCTACACATTTAGAGAACTATATCAGTTCATTTCTTCGCTTCAAATCATAACTTACTTGATTGTCAGAGTAACCACCGGAAAACTCAACTCCGATCCTCTAACATGTTGCATGTGTGCAGGGCTCTCTTCCTACCAGGAGATCAATCATTTAAGGAGATAATTGGACCCTAAAACTCTCCATAATCCACATTAAATTTACCCGTTTGCTATCTAACATCAATAAACCTTCCTTCTACTCATTAGTTTTCAACAATTTTAAGTAGATTAGTTTTTTTATTAATTATAATTTTAAATGGAGAGATGATTAATTCAAAAGTTTTAATTTGACTTAATAGCTTTAGTTGGCAATCAGTTATAATTAGAATAAGAATGCTGATATTAAAAAGGATCAGGATAAAATTGATCAAGAAAAGATCATGTTGTGACATAATTTGATTAATAAAAATAAGTGTTAAGGGCCTAGACCGGGCCAGAAACCGGCTGAGTTAGATTCATCCCTCCGGTCAGACGAGCGGACAATGACAGCTTGCCGGTCCGTTCAGCCGCAGACCGATATTAAAAAACCCCCGTGCCGGCTCGGGTTTTAACTGGGCTCGGCCTGTTTGCCCTAGCAAAGGAACAAAAGGACGTCCGTTCGGACCGTTCCTATAGCCTGGGCCTTGAAGCAGTCCCAAACTCCTCCTCAGGCTCGAAATGTGTCAAATCGACATCGAACCTATCAGAGCCTAGACGCGACCACGACGAAGAGAAAAAAGAAAAAAAAGAAAAGAAAAATACCCTCGAAGTCTCCTGCACGATCACTGCAGGTCCTCCAAATCTCCGAGCTCTCGAAACCCTAGCAATGGCGACCAGGCGAACGAGACGGTTCGGAAGACAACAGAACCTCCTCCCTCTTCGTACTGGCCAAGTCTCCAAGTCTCTCTCGTGCTGGTAAATTTTCTCTCCATTAAGACCCTTTAGTCTCTCTAGATACCTTGCAGTCAATATTATAAAAGTGAAGTTATTAAATTTTCCTACTTATAATTTAAGGTACTGTGACTGGAAAATCCGCGCCTTTAATGAGAAATTGTTCTTTATCGGCCACCGATATGCCAGGTATAGGTTCCCTTGCGCTTCTTATGATTTTCATAATTGTCAATTTTGTGATATTTTATGGTTGAATATGCGTGTTGAACTTGTTGCTAATCTTCAGTTCACTTGATGTTGAGGGACTAATTTATAGACCAAGTGCAAAACATTCGGTTTAGGGATTCCTTCATACCAAATCATGCATGGTACATCAATAATTTTGGCATTAGTAATCTGATAAAGGTGCATCTCTTTTTTTAACTACATTCTGATCACTGTATTGCCTTTTTTTTCTATTTACATGTGCGTTATTAATAGTTTTAGGTTGTTATTTAAATATCTGACAATGCTTTGCCGATAGCATGACCGATTGCTGGTCTTACATTCCTAGTGACTAGCAAGGAGATTTGTGATTTTAACTAATAGGTATTCATTCCCTGAGGTAATTCGTGCTCTATGAACGGTGCACTTTGATCTTTGTTATAGGCGAGATTGTGATCTTTTTGTGCGACTTATAGGATCTGAATGGTTTCTAGTCAGCCATTCAATTTAAATGATGCAATTATCCATTAAATACTTGAATCTGTAGAATCACATAATTCGTATAATTTGGGGTATAAATTTTTTTTTTAAACTTCAACTTTACAATCATGTGGTGTCTGATTATTGCCTCACTTTGTAGTTTGTATTGTTGTTTTTTAACCATACTTATGTTACATCAACTAGGAATATCTGATTCATTTATCTTAGGATGGTAGTGACCTTTTAGCATGCACTTCTTACGCATCTGACTCATACTTTCATATGACTATGGTAACTTTTACAGGTTGCTACAAGTTTGGTTCACAATTGGGTCTGCTTTCAGTCTTGTGGCTCTAGTTGGAGTTGCTGCGGTTAGTGATTTTATTTTTCCTACTTCATAGCTGATCAAGAATGTGATTCAAGTGTTGTTTTCTCATGGCTCATTCACTTTTTTCATGCTGGATTCTGAGGCAAACGGAATTGCTTAAAAAAAGTTGATCATTTTTATCCTTCTCGACTATTACTTAGGAAAACATTGGAAGGCTTTTTCTTAGTTTCATGACATTATAGCCTTAATTAAGCTTTATATTGACAGAAAAGTTTTCTTTTTGCCCACCTGGAGTATTGGGTTTTGTCTAAAGCGCTCTCTTGTCCATAGTTTACTCAACAGTTTGGCATTAACTTAGAGAGCATTATATTATTTTCTCATTCTAATGTGCAGCACATCCAATATGATTTGAGGCTGAGCTATATTCTGGAGTCACTAGCTTGTTTTGGATGACAAATATTTATAGTTGGTGACACCTGTAACCTATGACCTTTGCTTCCTATTTCTGACACGTCTGAAACAATTTATCCAGATTCTGTATTTATGAAGAAAACTACTAGAAAACTTGTAGATGTTTATGTAATTTATCATTTTATCAAATGTACGTCAACTTCTGGTATATTTCCATGTGGAACTATCTACCATTTTCTTAAAGATGGACCTTAAATTACAGGTATAGCTAAAACTTATTTTGTTGGAAAGTTCATGAAATAATTTCAAGAAAGATGCATCTGAAAATTTTTCATCTGCTTTCACTTTTAACTGAATGTTAGTTTCTCGAAGTAAAAACAGAGACATCTTCTCTTACTTTTTGCTGCTTGCCTGTATGCTTGACCATCAGTTGCTTATCCATGAACTGGGAAGGGCCTTTTATCTTCACAATTGGACTTATGGCCTTAACAATCTCTCAGTCAGCTGGTTGTTTGGCACTTCCCCTCCGGTTAGTGATCATCAGAAATCGGACTGTGAAATCTAGATATTGTTGGATCATTTAGTATCGTTAATTATTTATGGACAGTCTTTTGGTTTGAGCATATGGATCATGAACGCTGCTGTAATGTTTTTTTCAACAACATTTGCTGTTGCTATCCATGAATTTGGACATGCTGTGGCTGCTGCGAGGTTAGTTTCTCAATATCTACAAATTCCTTTAAAGTCTCTATTTTCAGTCATCTAATATTGTTATTCAGTTGTATCTCGTTTATGTAGAGAAGGGAGAAATAACTACCTTATTCTCACTTAGAAAGTTTTGTGGGGTGCTCCAATCTGTATTTCTACTATTTCTGATTTCGATAACTGTATGCACGTTTCTTTCTTTTATCTGAATTTCATGCTGAAATGTGAAGTTTTCTGTGTAGGATCTGATCTAATACACACTAAAGCACTAGGGGGTGGTAAATAGTGTTCTTTTAAAATTTTTGCAAAGTATATTATAAATTGCAAGAAAGATAGCAACAATCTCAGAAAATCACAATCACAAACACAAATTTTATACTCGTTTCACCTCCCCGGTGTACATCCAGTCCCTAAGCAACTCCCGTTTGAGAGTTCCATTATGATTTTGAAAAACTATTATAAAATCAAAAGCAAACCTGATCAATTTGCAAGACCATGCAAATTGCGCACAATCTCTACACCAAGAGATCACCTCTCACTCTCGAGAGAACTTTCCTTGAAGCAAGAACACAATTCCTATAAGGCTTGAATGTGTAGTGAAGTGCAATAGTGGCTTAGGAACCTTTTTAATCTCTGAACAATGCCTAATCACTTTGAATATATGATGAAGATCAATGGCTATTTCAGAAATCATTTTTTCTCAACACTTAGACTGAAAATCTGAATTTTGAACTCTTGAATTTGCACAAATGCTTGATCTTATATGTATGAATGAATGAATAGTGCAAATTTCTAAACTTAATACCTATTTATAGCCCTTGAAAAGACAACTTTTTAAACCTAAATAACGTGCACAAACGGCTATAAACAATCATAAATTCAAATTTTGAAATCTGAAAAAATTATATCTGTAGTCGACTACAATGCTTAGTAGTCGACTACACTGAGTCAAAATAGACTTTGTGAAGTCAGATTATTTCTTAGTAGTCGACTACTATAGTCATTAGTCGACTATACTGTAAAGACAAAAGTTCTAGAATTCTGAACTGACTCTTAGTAGTCGACTATAACTCCTAGTAGTCTACACTGTAATTTTATAGAAATTGGAATTCTGTCTTTGAGTCTTTACTAGTCGACTACAATATGTATTAATCGACTACACTGTAAAATGACAAAAACTGATATTTTGACCAAGGCTTTAGTAGTCGACTACTAGTCTTATTGGTCGACTACTAAGGGATAAATATGATATATATGAATTATTTTTTGACTCATTCTTTATCTAAAACTCTAATAGTTAACATAGGGGATTTTTATTGTTAACCACACACTAAGCATGTGTTAGTGTGTTCTAAACACTATGTGTGTGCATGTGTTGTGAGTGATCAAGGCTTGTACAATAAATCTAAGTAAAGAAAATATAAAATTTACATTGTGATGTTTAAGCACTTATCTTCTTTACTTCAAATTGCCTTGAGCTCATCTTGCACTTTTGTTCACATATATTGAGCTTATTTGAAGTTGATATCTGCATTGATATGTTAGTGCATAATAATACACATAGTGAATAAATTGTTATCATCAAAACTATATCTTGGGGACATGATATCTAATATTCTCCTCCTTTTTGATGATGACAAACAATTTATGCATATGTAAGTATATCACAAAAGAATTAAACACTTATGAACAATATATACTTACTCTCCCTGGATAAAAGCATATTAGAGTCTACAATAGAATCTTTAATAGCATAAAATTCTTATACCATTCTCCCTCTTTGTCATTAACAAAAAGAAATGAACATTTATTCTAAACATGCCATAATTTCTTCTTCATGAGCTAACACTTCAAAAAGATCATTCAGATTGTGAACATAGTCTATTACTTGACCCATCTATATGGGTACGCAAAGACTTGCCATAAAGGCCAAAAGTTTGAAAACTTCTATCTTCACAATCTGTTTAGAACATGTAGCTCATGATCATACTAAGCATAATAATACTAAGCATGATACTATACCGCATTAAGCAAACTTAGTAGCAACTTAAAACATAGTAGCAACTTACAACACATTACATAAGTCTTAAACAAAACAAACAACTAGCACATAATTTTTGATAAAATTAAACAAACAAACACACTAAGGACTTAATTGTTTTTGACACATAAACTGAAACTAGTTCAAGTACTAATTGATGCATGCATGATATTCTAACTTGACGGGCCTGGAGGAGGTGGATGTCCTTGGAAATATGCACTGAGCTTCAGATCTAAGTTATCAAACTTCTTGTTTATTTCTTCTTGATAGCTCAAAATGAAAGAATTCTGAGCATAGAGTGCTCGTTGTCCAGTCTCTAACTCAAGTATACAAGCAAATAGGGTATGATATTGAGCATCTGAGAAGCATGAGGGTTCAGCTTGCATAGGTGGTGGGATGTGGCTTGAAGAGGGTCCTGCTTCATGAGAAGATTGTGGTATTGTCTTGGGGAATTTGTTCTTGTGTAGGGTGAGACTCATCTTGAGGATTTTGTTCATGGAGTTCAAAATTTGTTAACTTCATCCTAGTTAGGATATTGGAATCAAAGAATTCAATTGAACGAATCATTGAATTTTCAGTTTCAAGATCAACGTGAAAGGCTTCAAAATTTTTTGTTAAAAAAGCTCCAAACGAAAGAAATCCTCTAGGGATAACTAAGAGATTCTCATAGAACACCTCAGCCCAATTTACTTGTATATTAGCCATAATAGAATACAAGGCCTTGGATAAATCTAATGAGATGAAATGAAAGCTCCTAGTCTTTAGAAACAAATTATAAGAAAGAATACAGGCTATAAACCTAGGAATAGGTCTAAGCTTATTTGAATGTTTCAGTGGTTTTCCATGACCAGGGAGAAATATATGATTAGAAAGCAACTCATGATCTGACAATCTTACACTACTAAGACTAACACCTTGGTAAGGAATGTTAATTTTTTTTCAAGTTTCTTTGGAGTTAAATTAATCTCAATCTCAATTCCTTTAACAAGAGTGTTGAGTATATCGGGTTTGTTATCAGATTCAAGACGAGTGATGTTTATATAAAACAATTGAACTAATAGAGGATAATGAGACTTTTTATTTTCAGAAGAAAATAGTTCATGTAGTCCAACGTTTTCAAAATAAGATTTGAAATTATGGGTTACAAAGTCATCAAACGTAATAAATCTACCCGATAGAATCTCATAAGTTTGGTATTCTTTGAATTTCTTGAGCAAACTAGAATCGTTTAGGTACATTGAGTAGTCTTCAACAACATTAGAAGGACCAGACCTTGACCTCTTTGATCTAGACATGATTCAAGTAAGGAATTTAAAAAAGATCAAGTGTAGAAGACTTACCAAACTGTAGATGCCCTAGGAGATGTTAGTAGTCGGCTAATACTGGTCGTAGTCACAGACTTAAGAATAACAAGAAATTTGAGAGAAATTTTAGGAAAAATAGAAGGGGAGATGATGCCCTAACCTGGTTGTTGTTGAACTGAAGAGGGGAGAGGGTTCTTGCGTTTTTTGGAGAGTGAGGGAGTGTGTAGTTATTGATTTAGGGTAGTTTTCTTATGTGAAAAATTAATGGCTAGGATTAAAACATGAATTCAAATGTATGGACATGATTTGATCTTAATAGAAGTTGATTTAGGGCTAGATTTGATTAGGTAAAAAAAATGAGTGGTTGAGATCAATTTGACTTAAGTTTAATGGGTATTAGGTATTGGGTTTGGTGGGTAAATATCCAATATGCTCAAAACTGTGTAAATGTGAAAACTGCTATTAAGTAGTCGACTACTAAGATAATTAGTCGACTACTCTGTAGTTGACAGAGTTCTGTAAATCGAGTTGAACTTTGATTAGTCGACTACTAATACTATTAGTCGACTAGTCTGTAATAAACAGAATGTTATATATGCAAAATGTGTGCATGTAGTCGACTACTAACCTAATTAGTCAACTATTAAGCCTGTGTATGCATATGTATTGATCTTAAAAATTAATTTAAGTCTTCAATTGAACATATACCTAATTCCCTTCTTAATTTAACATAAATTTCTTTTTTTAATGGTTTTGTTAATATATCTACTATTTGTTTATCAATAGATATAAATTCTAATGAAATATCACCTTTAAGCACATGATCACGTAAGAAATGATGTCTAATGTCAATGTGTTTTGTACGTGAATGTTGAATAGGATTTTTAGATAAATTAATGGCACTAGAATTATCATACATTATAGAGGATGTGTGACAAACTATGCCATAACCAAATAATGTTTGTTTCATCCATAAAACTTGAGCACATGCAAAGCTTGTAGCAATATATTCTGCTTCAGTCGTTGATAATGATATTGAATTTTGTTTTTTACTAAACCAAGATACAAGTGAATGTCCCAAAAATAACATGTACCACTTGTATTTTTTTTATCGGATTTGCATCCAGTAAAATCAGCATCACTATATGATAATAAATCAAATGTGCTATTCTTTGGATAAAACAAACCAAAAATCTGTAGTATCTTTAAGATATCTAAAAATTCTTTTTACTGCTTTAAGGTGTGACTCTTTAGGATTAGATTGAAATCTAGCACATAAACAAACACTAAATATTATATCGGGTCTACTAGCGGTAAGATAAAGAAGTGATCCAATCATATCTTGATATTATTTTTTAGAAAAAATTCTAAAAATAGACCACATTTGCTAAATATTTAGCAAAATCGACCATTTTGCTAAATATTTAGCAAAATCGACCTCTTTTTGGCCAACAGGCCAAAAATAGGTCGATTTTAAAAAAAGTGGTCTGAAAACATACGGGACTACTAGTCCCGTATGTTTTCAACACACTAATTACAGATTAGAAAACATACGGGATTACTAGTCTCGTATGTTTTCTGTCATGGTTTTGGTGGCTCACGAAAATGTACGGGACTACTAGTCCCGTACATTTTGCAGAGCCACCCGACCCATCTATACG